AGACATATGGCTGGTTTGTTTCTTCCTGCCGCTTAAGAGAGATAAAAATGTCTGGCACCTGCAGCCTCTTTCCTCCATTTGGAGACCCCTGGCCTTCTGGCCTGTTACCCTCTCAGGATTCCCTGGAGAAGGGATGGGATACCCACTCCAGTATTCTTGGGCTGCCCTGGTGGAATCCGCCTGCAATGGGGGACACCTGGGTTTGATCCCTGGGCTGGAAAGATCCCCTGAAGTAGAGCATGGCAACCCGCCCCAGTATTCTTGCCTGGAGAATCCCCATGGACACAGGAGCCTGGGGGCCTACAGTCCATGGGGGTGCAAAGAGTCGGACACGACTGAGCAGTTAAGCACAGCACAGCACATGAGAAACAGAGTCTTGATATTAATAAAATCAGTCATGCTAATAATGGACTGTGGGTGGGGGAGGGGTGGGAAGGAGGTTCAAGAAGGAGGGGACATATCTATCCTTACGTTTGATTCCACTGGTGTATGGCAGAAACCAGCACAACACTGCAAAGCAGTTAGCCTCCAATTAAAAATAAATGTAAGAAAATAAGGGATTATAACACTGAATTTTAAAAAAGCATGGGTCCACAGTGAAACACAAAAATATTTTTAATAACATGTTAGGGGTAGGGATTGTCTTTTCCACAGCACAAAGCTGGCAATACCACAGATATGACAATTGACACACATCAGGGATCAATAAAGGATGGTACAATTTTTACAGAAAGAGCATCATAGAATATGATATTCATACACTCTAAAAATACCACTCATCAAATTACTCATTACAGACACAAAAGCCGGTCTTTTTTTTTTTTTTTTAAAAGCCGGTCTTTTCAATGAACAGATCTTCTAAGCCTCTGCATAACAGTGTTCAATGCTAAAATAATGATAGTGGTGATAGGTAAAGTGGACACTCTTAGCCTCCAAACAGGCTGCACTAGGAAGCACACAGCATGTACTAGATGGTGTTCTTGGCAAAAAGGGTTCACCTGAATTTAATCATCAGTAAATGATCAGGCAACTGCAAAATGTAGACCTTTGAGTAGACAACTGACCTATCCTCTGCAAACAAGTCAATGTCACGACCATCAAAGACAACTACAAGAAGCTGAGGAGATGTTTGAGGTTCCAAAGGACTAAAGAAATAAAGTAACACGATCTTTTTAGTCCTTTGGAGCCTAAAACATCTCTCCTCCTTTTTGCTGTCTTTTTGGCGCAAACATTGACTGTTTGAAGAAAGACAGGCCAGTTGTCTGGTTCAAAGGTCTAAATTCTGCAGTTATCTGATATCTACCTCAATATTAAACACAGGATGAACACTTTCAGCAAGAACAGTGCATAGTAAATGCTGTCTGCTTTGAGCACAGTCCATCTGGTGGCAAAGAATGACCGGGTTGATAGGTTGTCTTCTTCCAGTTGTTCCCATGCTGGTGTGTGGAGGGTGAATATTTAGAGGCGCAAGAGTTCAGGTCTTTCCAAACTGTGTGTCCATCAAAGCACTGATCACGTTACTGAGGATTACATTCCGAGGCTGACGACTGGGATTACTCCCATCAATTCTGTCCCTTGGGGTTTGGAGCGTGGTTGTCAGTTGGGATGCTCATTCTCAGGAAAGGATCCCTCCAGTGTTGCTGAGGTTTAAATTGAGTTGCTGTTGTAGATTTTTTTTCATCAAATGGAAAAGGTATATTTTATAGTGTGGTTTCTCAAAATGACAATATCTTTTCTTAGTTCCTAAAGTAATTGGTATCTGTGAAAGACAGAGAGAGGGAGAGAAGAAGCAATGTGAGTGTTTGTTATGTCCTGCTGAGACTGGAGGGTTGGCCACATGGTGACTGGGGCCAGGGGCACACAGAGCTGTCGACAGGACGAGCTGAAGGGAGAGCACCGGCTGGCTGGAGAGGAGAGTGAGATCTGTGATTTAGAAGGAACACCTCCCTAAACTTTCCTCTAGCCTGTGGTGCAGCGTTGAAGGACCCCTCCTCACCCCACCTGTGCTTGGTGATGTCTCAGCTCAGAGCTGCTTCAGAGCCTTAACTGGATCCCCACCGCTCAATCCTCAACAGTCATTTCCCTCTTGAATCCCCTTCATCTGTACGCTTTCCCACACATTCAGGGATGGACGTGCTGAGCGTCCTTGATACACAGCTGGAAACAGACTGCTATGGGAGCAGAGGATCCTCACTGAGAAAGAACCCTCTTCTACCTCTTCATCCCTGCCCTCTGAGGAGGAGACGCAGGCTATGAATATTGTTCTATTTTCTTCCCTTGAAATCCAATATTTGCCAACATGCTGAGTAACTGGTTGCCAACAACCAGTGTCAGACCATAGGATCTCAGCCTACATGAACCACTCAGGAGAAAGCACATGAACACAGGAACTCCTAGGTTTGGTTACTTCACCTGGGTCAACCCACTGTACATTACTAAACTTGAAGGATTAAAAATTGAAATGCAGAAACTTGTGAAACATAAACAGACAATGTTGTTAAAGAGATAATTGCTGTTGAATGAATAGATGAAAGAATTACATGGACTACTTTCTATTTTTCTCTGGATCTGACGTCTCCTGCTGTCACCACTGACATTCACAGCCCACAAATCTTCAAATTACCTGAGAAATGTGAGCTCTTGTCCACTCACTTCCTTGTGATAACTTTCATTCTCTAGTAAGAAATTGAGAGACAGCCAGTCATAATAAGAAAATCAGACCGCACACATATCTACTCAGTAATCACATATACAACAAGACTTTAATATTCTCATTGTAAGAACATACTTCTTTAGCAAAGTTATTCTAGGACACTTAAGTCTTATGAGAATTAGACTGGACTGCTTCCAGAGCCACTGAGGAAATTTGCTGCTTGATCTGGTATCTCTCCCAGCATCCTTTTTTCTGAGTCTGTATAAGCAGTTAAAAATGTATTTTCCACAGAGATGCTGGAACATGAGCTGAGTTATTTTCTAGAATTATTTCTATAGTACTGTTTAGTCCCATCAGATTATGTGGTTATTTATGGTTTAGAGGAATTTATACTTGGGACTAGAGTGATGGGTGAATTGTGAAAGCGTTAGCCACTAGTAGTATCTGTCTCTTTGTGACCGCATGGACTATATCCCACCAGGTTCCCCTGGCCATGGAATTCTCCACACAGGAATACTAGAGTGGGTGCCATTCTCTTGTCCAGAGGATCTGCATGACACAGGGTTTGAACCTGGGTCCCGTGCATTGCGGACAGATTCTTTACCATCTGACCCACCACGATAGCCCAGTGAATTGTAGTAACCCTCAAATCAAAAAGAATCTTTGATGCTACACAGAAACCATGGCCGTTTGAAGCTGGAGGAACTGCCAGAGCCCAGCCTTGCTGCATGGAAACATCCAAGAGAGGCTATGATTCGGTTGTGTCTGTCTTGGTGTCAGATAACATCTTAGCTAAGACCTGCCAACATCAAGAAATGGGAGACTGGGATTGAGAGCAGTAAAACCAAACCTGGAAATCACCTCTCCTTATAAAGAGGCAAGTCTGTCATCATTTCTGGAGAGCCCAGGAACATTTACAAAAATTAGATCACTGCAAGTAACAGTACACTGGCTCCAAACTCCTTCTGACAGATACCTCCTGTGGATTTCCAGCTGAGGTGGGTGAGAGTTGTCACAATTGATTTGGGTCAAATGCCTGACACTGGGGTCAGGGTGACAGAGGCAA